CCCTCGGGACTACTCACTACAAAAAAGAACAAATCATCTCTCTGTACTCGCGCTTATAGACATAATCCCACTTCGTGTATCACGTTTGTTTGATAAATCACCCTGGGCTAACTTAGCTCATCGACAAAATCGGGGACCCAGTTAGGAAGCCACCAAGACAGCTTCATAAGTCGGAGAATCTAGAAGCGCATGCACTAGATGGGACACTGCGACCGAACGCGATTTAGCGTACAGAGAAGACGAAGTTGAGCTCACAAAATTGTCTCATTTCCGTTGTTATAGGCAATGGATCGTTTATATACAGTATATTACGTGGACATTTCGAACGTATTGCAATTTCTAGAATATGTGTAAAACAGTGATTCGTGTTGATGTTTATATGTATCAGCCTTCAGTGAATTATATACAATACTTCGACTATTTAATTGATTTAGTAACGTGAAAGCGACTTTAAAATATGTTAAGTATTTTAAAATAAAGATTGACAAATCTTTGCCTGATCATAACACTGGTGGGCATTTTTGACATTAACGAAATATATTCCTGGACTATCAAGTATGTATGTCAATATCGACTACTAAGTTTTTCTGATAACAAATATTTTACTATTACATTTCTGATTATTTCGATCGTTTTTAGCGACTTTATCGTTGTGACTTCCCGAGTTTAATGTATTAGCTTTACATTGTGGTTCTCGTGAAATCACTAAAATAAGAAAATTCGCTAAATGGGTTGTTATTTATTAAATAGTGTACCCGGGACTACTAACATTTTGCACCTGCTCCGCACAATTTTCTATTCTAATTGATAGGCATGTAAATTCTGCTGAATTCTATCATTGGTAGGCAGTTAATCTAAAGTAGTGTGAAGTGATTCTCCTGGGATTTTTCAGCGATTGATTAATGTTAAATAGTTTGCTCTGAACTAATCATTCAATCGTAATGTTGTTTCCAATCTCATAACACAGTGCATAACATAGAAATATAATAGTGCCAACCACGATACGGACGTCCGCCATATGCTCGCAAAGGAAATAATTTACTGTTACTACTTTTATTATTATTTGGTGCTATTAGAATTGTCGGTCATTATGCTATAATCATTGACTGTTTGTTACAGGAAATGCACTTAAGCATACACACTAATATTTGTTTTTAAGTGATAAACTGCATTGCATTAGATAAAGATATTTGCAATGTCACTGCGAATTTGTAATGAGTGCATTTTTCTGTCCTCGTCGACATAGATTTAGTGATCCCACCCTAATTCCACTAGTAGTAATACTCCTTTTATACGGCCATTTAGATACACAATAATACTCATTATAAAACGCATCAAAAACAACGATTAACACAACTCCATATTTGTGACAGTATTTCAGGTCGAGCCTGTACACTTAGAATGTACGTTTCAACAATTTCCTAGATAACGGAATTGACATTTGTAGAAATATTTTTTACGTTATCAATGTTTTTATGCACATACGACACAAAGATTAGTAAACTACGGCGAATCAAGACAATTATAACTATAATTATATCACTGTATATTATATTTGAAAATTCTACATAAGCGATCAGTATTTCGCGCGTGATATAAAACCCGCCACCCCTTACATTGCGCGTTTTCAAAAAGTACCCAAAACCCCTACGCAGATAATGGAATAGACGGGAAAGGGATATATATTGAAATCATGAATGTTTAGATGGTATGTTTTTTTTTTCATTTTATATATATAAGTGAATGAAGGTATCTACAATATATATTATATATGAAAAATCAACATAAGCTACCAGTACAGGTGATTCGCGTGTGATATAGAACCCGCCACCCCTTTTATTGCACGTTTTCACAGTGGACAGAGCACAACAAGTACCCAAAACCCCTACGCAGATAATGGAATAGACGGGATTGGGATATATATTGAAATCGTGAATGTTTAGCTGGTATGTTTTGTTTTTTTCCATTTTATATATATATATATATAAGTGAATGAAGCTGTCTACAAAATGTCAAACGAACCAACGGTTGTTGAGGATTATACCAATTTTACTGTTCAGCAGTGGAGAGACTATTTCAGGGATCGGTTTAACATCACCGAACTGCTATACACAGCCGATGATCTAGCTGTTCCTGTTACAGAACAGATCTTTTTGATGGTCGTATTCGTTATAAGTATGACGTTGGCGGTAGTCGGAAATGTATTGGTGATATGTGTTTTAACGTTCGGAACGCGCGGCTGGACAGAATTGAATATCTTTCTGATTAATCTGTCTCTAGCTGATTTGACGATGGCTATCTTCTGCATGCCATTCACCTTCCCCACGATTATGAAGGGTCACTGGATATTCGGTGATGTGATGTGCCCAGTAGTATTGTCACTACAGCAGGTACGTATTTACATCTAGTGATGCTTGCAAACTACACCCTGAAGTGAGGTTTCCGGTGAGTGACTACAAACAATATTACAAATCCGTGTATCAATTCGCTTAACACTGTTTTTATTAGAACAATGCATTACACGCTCTTGCTACATCATACAGCACATTGGCACACCAATCTGCACTAAAAGTATAGTATGGACCACATTTTTTTTATTTGTTAGTTAACTGACTGGCCAGTGCATTATACATATTTTAATCACCTGCTTACGGTACGAGCGCAAATAGTGGTTTAGTATTGTCCACAATACAATGGGGATTGGACAATGTAGCATCAGACGGCAGGAGTATCACTCATTATTACGAACAAGTGATAATAGATGGTAACCTTTTTTATTACAGAGGAAATGTGATTTTACGAGTATGTAAATAACCCTAATTGGACACGATGTCCAAGCGCGTCAGTGGACGCACATTTGTAGTTCCATACGGCCGCGATTTTAAACCCTCCCTAGCGTTGTACCGTCTCGATACGCCATTTTCGAGATTTCATTCCATATAACATACTAACAATCACAGCTGTGATTGTCGCGTTATAATATAGCATTAATTGCACACGTGTGAAAGGTTGAACAATACGTTTAGGAAATTAAATACACGAGTATATAGATATACGAATACAGAGAACGTAATGAACATAATACAAATAGAACAGTAGAACAGTGATCTTATCATTAATTGTAGAATTTATTGTTTGTCGTCAACGTCATTATCTGAAGTCATTGTTGAAAATTATAAATTAATAGAGTGATTTATTAATATAATACTGATATGTGAATGAATATACAAATATTTTGTTTTCAGTTGACTCAATTGAAACCCATGGCTCACTTGAATTATTAAAATTAATGTGATCAGGAATATAAATTATACATTTACTAATATTCGAAAGGATAATAGATCTAGACGACAGATATTTCTTTTAGTTTAAAGTCAATTGACCAAACACATTTCGAAAATTACACAGATTGGGAATATTCAACGGATGATCTGCATACACACAACTAAAGGGTGTTTTTATTATAAGCAATTGCACCAATAGGCTTTGAAAAAATCAGCGAATTAGTGTGAGATTATGCCAAATAGGCTTCTATCAATTCTATAAAACGCCCTATTTTTATGGAGTTGTCATTAACAATCCTAGAACGAAATACAATCTCTTGTGTTTTTCATTGTTACATGTGAAGCCAAATTGTGGTTGTGGTTAGCGAAAATGATGGTAGTGGTCTTTTTTTAGTCATGTTTCCATGGCAACTATTTGAAAATGTGCGAAAATCGAAACCTTGTCCTAAAGCCAGAGAATTGAATTTAATATTAAAAATAAGTAGAACTTATGCGACAATATTTGCCTATATATTTGATCTTAAGATGCTAAGTATGTAATTTACATATTCATTAAGTATTTTCCATCATTCAAAAAAGTATTGTTTTATAATAAAATAAAATACTATCACTGCATTTATATAATATACATCTAGTCCCTTGCAAAAAGTCGTGTAATTGAAAATAAATTTCTCAAATCTGACATTATGTTACCATGGTGACAACCTGGTTAATACCTAAAATCTAAACTACGTGTATATAACTCAATGTATTGTATTTTGAGAACCAAATTGTGCACCATAATAGTATTTACATATGCGACAATTTATGTTATATTCGTACATGTTAATTACATAATTTGCATATGTGTTTATGCCAATGAAGTATCGCTTTATAATAGAAGACATGATATTCTCCAAAAAGATGTGAAGTGAAAACGACCAAAAACCTGACATTGTGTTTCCATGGTTACAAGTTGAAGTCAAGTCTCCTTACATGTATACATGACTTACATGTATACACCTTGTCATACATATATCTATCCAGCAATGTGTGGGGGAAATTCATGTTGCACTTAATGTTTTAACTAGATACTTGTTTCAAAATGCTCACCTTTTACAATGGAGTGTACATTTATGGTTCACAAATGTAGTAAAATATTTAAATAAAATGTACCTTGAATAAGTTGTCTGTAAAAACTTAAACTTCAGATTTAATAATCACACCAACATGCGAACAAAATAACATACAAATCATATGACATTAAATACTTTGAGTATTTTGATAGAAACTATATGGATCACAAGATATACACACATCCAAGAGATATTCAGTCGTTCTTGAATATTAGTGTTCTTAAGTTCGTGAATAAACAATCATAGTTAATCTGTGTGGGTTCTGTTATGACAGACAATATACCACTATAGCACTGTTGCCCCTCCCCCGGTTTATGTTTGTCGTTTTTGGCAGGGAAGTCCAGGGTGGTTTGTTTTGGTCCAAGGCCTCCCCTGACGACCCACACCAAATATGTGTTATTGATGTCATCAGCGCAACATTTATCCAGAAGTTCACTGTACCATTGAGAAAACATATGAGAATAAAAGTATAAATATCTAGGTATAAAACCAAAAAACAGATTGTGCGTTTATTTACGTATTTGTTACCAGCAAATAATGGTGATGCGATGTGACCGGCTCTCCTACAGTCAGCTTGACGTATTAGAATATGAATTTAAGTACTATCCATTCAAAGTATTTATTGCAGAATTGTGAAATAGCTTTCTGATTTTTTTTTCAATATCCAATATCTGAGACACATTATATTAGCAAATATGTAACAGGAGCATGTGCAATGTTGACTTATATTCAGAATATTTCTAATCTCACGAAATCTCACAAAAGCTCTTTTAAATAACTAATCGTTAAATGACATTCTTTTCATATTGTCTGTTCAAACGTCAATAAAATAGAATGAGTCAATTAAAGTTCAGTAAATCGTCATTCCATAAGGTATGTGTTCACTTGTCTTCATCAATGAACATTGTAAGGAAAAACATAAATCCGGTCATCAAAATAATAAAATATTTTTATTTTGGTGTAATTTTGACCAATTGCAAGCAAATTTAATAAATATCACAATGATAACATCCAACATCATCGGTGCGTAACAGTATTGTAAACATCGCAAACTATGCACCTACACACAACATATATTTATCTTATGAAGTCTTGATTCTGAACTAATCATTCTACTGAAACATGATTAAACATATGAAGACAAGTAAAAAATAAAGCAGGTAATAGAAAAATCGTTTTAAATTACTCCTAAAAATGATGTATAGTTACCCAGATAAACGCGTACATGCCTTCTAGGCCTATTCGTTCGAATGACCTTCCCTTAATTTGTTCCTTTCCACATCCTATTGCTGGCATATCGCCGTTGGCTAGTCACGAATAACAACAATGGCAATCTACTAGTGAATATTGTAGACAAGTGACAGGTATATATTATATGTCGAACATATAATATAGCTAGATGATATATCGAACATATGATCAGTCGAAAATACCATTTGTTACCTAACATAGATAATAGTGCAAATTGTGTAGGAACCCATCCAAAATTTCAACATAAAGTTTGACGCGAGCTCTTTGGTAATATTTTGGTCGAAGTTTTAACACTATTTGAATCTATTATTGCCTGAATAGGCACGAGAGAGATTGCAATAATATTCCCATTCGTATTCTCACTCATGCGCCAGGTGATAATACAGACTTTTAACTGTTTTTAAGTATTATCACAGTTAAAATTTCACAGTTGGCACTGTTTCCTCCCGATAACATGATAACGGTGATTTTATTAAGATAGTATGTACTTGGTTTTATTTATAAACTCAAAATAAAAGTTTAGTACAAGTCTCAAATAAAAACACATTGACGTAGAAGAAAACGATATGGTGACATTGTTCCACAGGCAATTAGATTGTTCTTCAGTTTTTAGAAACGAGTTGATAATTATAATATCATACAAGTGTATCAATTTGTTATGGAATGAAAGACAAAATGAAAAATTCTATGACACATTTCTTACACAAGAATGCATGCACTGACGAGAAATCCAAACTTCGTATCATTATATATTATATTAGACAAATTCGCCAAAAGTAAGTAAAACGGTTTTTCATTTACAGCAGAAACCAATTTACAAGAGTAAAATATTATTAATGGTAATAATTAAACATGGATCAGCATCACATGGGTACAAGTCTTACAATATGACCAATCGTCAAACGATATTCAAAACTCCAATGCACTTGGTTGTATTTATATGGTGTACACCAAATTGCAAATCAGTGAGTGGGCTTAGTTGTTCTTGAAAAGTATTTAAAGCGTCAAATTATTTTTTTTAAATACTTGCTATCCCAAAAGCAAAGTTATGTGCTAAATGTATATGCATTAAGGTATATATGCAAAAGCAGCTGCAACATTAGGATTGTGTGAAATAGGATATTTTCCAGCTTTTTATTATTCCAAGATGCAGATCAAACCACGTGATCAGCCATTATTACACTTGTATTTGCGTGCTTCAGATTTTGCGTTTTTGGTGAATTTAAAAGTCATGTGATATGCTATAATTAGTGATATTGGTAACACGTATAAATATTTCTGTAACAATATTTCCAAAACATGTAACTGACAGGTTGCAGAACGATGTTGCTTTAAATATGGTAAGGGTTACTAAGAAGTATTTTCAAGTAATAGTAGAAGCATATTTGCAACAATTCCCAGGAAACCAGATATGTACATAAATAAATAGGTCACATAATCAGCTAATTATTTATCAAAATTTTAGTTTGTCTAAATATCTTCAACCATGTGCACAGCACTAAATGCATAACAGGTATCTTGTGTTAGATATATGCATGGTCACAATACTTGGTATGATATAAATGTGTGTTTATAATAGATGTCTTGGAATTAGAAATGTAAGGTCACTTAACCAGATTACAATTAATACCCAATTAGTATCAAATTAGCTAACAAATAATATCCAATTAGTAGTACATGTCTATCTATATGTAAATTAGATATATCACATGACTAGCAAAATCTCTTCACTCGTCTGTA